CAAGACAAGGCAATGTAGCTGTTGTGGTAAAAAAAACTAATAAAAAAATACCAGTCACTACAGCAATCAGTTTCTCCTCCACCATATTTAAAGTTTATGATGGATGGATACACATTCATCAGTCAGTAGGCTAATGCTAGCAATTGGAATGTGCTAACACTGCAAAACGAAGGTTAAAGTTAGGGTTTAGTATTTGTTTCAGTGTTGTGTAGGAAATCAGTGTGATAGATGTGATCACCCATGCAGAAAAACTATTTGTACTATTGCCAGATATTGGTTACTGAAAATCACCTAAATTTAGTTTATGCCAAACTAACTCAACTGAATCAAAATACAAAAAAGTAATACAAAAAATGCATATATTTATGTTTTTTTCTAAACAATTTGTGACAATCCACGGATAACTATTCCTCCCCATTTTTGACATGCACAAAGTAAACATTTTCTGGCAACATGGATTAACTTTACTATTAACGTAATAGTTATTTGATTTAATAACCTATAAATAAGGTAAGAAAATAGAGGGTTTTCCTGAGCCATTTCAGCTGCAAATGGTTGTGTCATGGAAAGGTGGAGAGGGAGGTTGGGGAGTTGAAAAAGTCACTGCTCTCCACTGACTTTCTGCCCATTAAACTGCAGCTGATGCTCCTGTCAAAGCCGTAAATGCATCCTGATAGTAGTGGACCCATGAGATGAGGGCTTTGGCTGTGGGAGACGGTGCGCCAGTAACTGCAGGTTCAGTGTGTAAACAACACTACTGGAAATGTGATGACGCACAACTGCTGTTTAACTGCACTTCATCATTGGCTCAATAAATGCTCCATTACATCTGTTCACCAATGAACTTACTGCCTTCATGAGGTGACCACAATTAACCGGTGCGAAACAGCACAAAAGTCACCAGGACCAATCCCGTGCCTGTGGCGATATCACTGCAAAATTCTATAACATTGCTTCCTGTTTTGCAGCACTTTCAAGTGGCACTAAAAGTGCATTGAGTTTTATTCAACACAGATGAATGTGACTCTGCACTAAAATGCTCTATTGTGTTTGAAAATAATGTACCACTTACACTAAACCCCACACTAAGACTGAGTGTGAACAAAATAAAAAATTAGATAAAAACGCATTTGAGGGAAGAAACATGTAATTTTAGCTTGCTTCTAAAAGTCTCTCCGTAGTGTTTCTTGTACCTTAGCACTCTGCATTGCAACTGCAATGCTGTACCAGGTGCGCTACCGAGCAAGTTTACTATATCAGAAAAAGCCATATGAAGCTGGTTATGTGATGAAAACATCCAAATGCATTAATTTACAAATCATGCATTATGGCTAGCATATATACGTATATATAAATTTTTTATTGTATTTTATTTTTTTACATTATTTATTTATTTTTGTCTGCTTGTTAGTTTCAGACATTTAGTTTCCCACTTTTTTCAGTTTTTCATACAACTATATTTTGAGATAACCATGCCATATTTAAATTGTTTTCTCCTGCACTTGTTTTTATTTTAACTTGTTTTTATTTTAACAGTATATAAAATCGAAAGCATATTATGTTACTGTACACTTTGGCAGGCAGCTTTAAATATTATCATAAACTGTTGTTGACTCATGACTCGTGTCTGAAGCCAAGCAGTGTGTATGACTAAAGTGTGAACAAGACAAGAGCAGGGAAGTCATTAGAATTGGAGACGTTTCCTCCCAGAGGACATTAAAACCCTTGAGATGGAGACACACCCTTATCTCTAACTCACTTGTCAAGACAACACAGCACAGGTTATATCTTAGGCCTGAATACTAGTTTCATAACAAACCGTGTTCACAATGCGGGCCACACATCCTTTTGTACTGCCTCAGTCAAAGCCATAAAACACATCAGAACAACATCTGTCATTAAATGCACATCTGCCTCACTCAGCATAATCTCTGATAAAGACACTGACTGACCATCAGTCCAGTGTTTATTAGCCAATAAACTGTTATTGCACACAGAGCTTTATGGAAGCACATCTGCCCACATTAGCCCTGTCATTGTTCTTCCTGTTTGCTTTGCCTGAGTGCTCTTTCATTCACGCCTGATGATTGCAGTTGTCTTGGATGAGGAAAATGTCACTGAACCCACTCTACATACATCCTGACCTACATGACCATAAACGTGTGTTTCATGACTAGAATCAATTCTGATAACCCTTAATTTTAGAAAGAGTTATAAAATTACACTGCAGTGGAACTGAGGGTGCAGGTGTTTTCAGTGGAATGGTATGAATTGTGTTTTTGAATGGATGTCAATGGAAGAGCGGCTTCAGTTAACAGCTTGTAAACAGCTTACCACTTAATGAATTGACAGCCTGTCTGTTAATCTCCAACGTGTTTGCCATTAAATAGTTTGTTTGGGGTGAGCTCTATTTGGAGTTTACGAAAGAACAAATGTTTTAAGTCAGAAAAATGAGCAGCAGATAGTATTCAGTTCACGGAGCTAATCCTATTCATTTCTATTTCTGTTATGGTTTTGTGCTGACAAAACCAATCCAATAAGCCTTATAGGTGGTATCATGACGCAGCTCATCATCTCAGTCAACTCTGACTCTGATCCTTAAAGGGATAGTTCACCTAAAAAAATCTAAATACAATCACTATTTACTCACGCTTTACTGTAAATAAATAAATAAATAAATAAATAAATAAATAAATAAATAATTGATCTGATATTTTCAAGTCAATGCAGATTGAATGTATAATGATGTTTAGTACTCTGTTATTTGCATTTTTTTTTTTTCGAGAGAGAGAATTCCATAGCTGTCTTGGGGAATATGGGGGTTGTTAATATGGGGGGGACATTTAAAAAGCTGAATTAAGTTATATTTTGCTAAGTAAACTGGGGGAAAAAATAAAGAAAAATTTAAGCATTTTCACTCATGGACTCAGACCTTGAGAGCCCTTTGTGTTATGGAGGACTATGGGTGCCACTTAATTAAATGTAATTCAGATCAATGTAATTCCAAAATAATTTAAATAAACAAATTATTTTTTGACAAATAAATAGACATTTTAAAACTGTATATATTCCATGTTTAAAATGTTGTTAAATATAACAAATATAAATGTAATGAATATTAGTAATAAAAAACTGGCTGCAGTGATGTATATGCTTCTCACAGTAATGATTATATTATTACAAAGTTGTTGTGGTCCAGAGAGAACCTTGCATACAACGGTTTATATGGTCACAACGCATTTAATAATTTGGCAAAAAAATAATGTCAAATGCTTTTAAATGCAATAGATAGATAGATAGATAGATAGATAGATAGATAGATAGATAGATAGATAGATAGATAGATAGATAGATAGATGACAGACAGACAGACAGATAGACAGACAGATGAAAGACAGACAGACAGACAGACAGACAGACAGATAGATAGATAGATAGATAGATAGATAGATAGATAGATAGATAGATAGATAGATAGATAGATAGATAGATAGACAGACAGACAGACAGACAGACAGACAGACAGACAGACAGACAGACAGATTATATTTAGATAGAAAGATAGATAGATGGAAAGATAGATAGATAGACAGACAGACAGACAGAGAGATGACAGACAGATAGACAGACAGACAGACAGATAGATAGAAAGATAGATACATAGATAGACAGATAGACAGACAGACAGATGATAGATGGATAGATAGATAGATAGATAGATAGATAGATAGATAGATAGATAGATAGATAGATAGATAGATAGATAGATAGATAGATAGATAGATAGATAGATAGATAGATAGATAGATAGATAGATAGATAGATAGATAGATAGATAGATAGATAGATAGATAGATAGATAGATAGATAGATAGATAGATAGATAGATAGATAGATAGATAGATAGATAGATAGATAGATAGATAGATAGATAGATAGATAGATAGATAGATAGATAGATAGATAGATAGATAGATAGATAGATAGATAGATAGATAGATAGATAGATAGATAGATAGATAGATAGATAGATAGATAGATAGATAGATAGATAGATAGATAGATAGATAGATAGATAGATAGACAGACAGACAGACAGACAGACAAATAGATGACAGACAGACAGACAGACAGATAGATAGAAAGATAGATACATAGATAGACAGATAGACAGACAGACAGATGATAGATGGATAGATAGATAGATAGATAGATAGATAGATAGATAGATAGATAGATAGATAGACAGACAGACAGA